ATAGCAAAACATGGACTGGGTTGACTGAGACAAATTGCAAACTGCTCATATGCAAATTTCCAATTGGACTAAAGCAAAAGAATAAAGATTACTAGTTCCCACAATATGCTCTTCAACCCCTATTTTCAAAGACAACCTCAGGAATCTGCTTTGAGTTCCTGAACTCTGATGTGTAACCAGAGGAACCATGGAAGGGTATCAAATGTGAAAGTTAAAACAGTGCTAAAGATGATGAAACAGAAGAAGGCACGCTGGATGTCAGAACAAACTCTGGAAATTGTCAAGAAGAAAAAAAAAGAGGCCAAAGCCAAGAAAGATGATATCTTGGAAAGACTAAAGAGTTTGAGAAAGTAAAGACAAGGCACAATATTACATCTGTAACGACACTGAAGGTAGAAACAGACATGGAAAAAGATCTTTGAAGAGATCTCTTAAGTCAGAAGGAGTTCAGATTGTGGTAAAGGACATCAGTGGACAGACAGACCTGATTGAAAGAAAGGTGGAAGCAGGCTATTGAAAAGTACAGAAGAGATGTGGAGATCGAAGTGGGTGGTCAACACAAAATGGGAGTGTTCAGAACCCTACACCACCGGCATGAAAGTTTGCCTACCAGTAAAGAGGGAAAAGAAAAGAACTAAAACACATCAAGGAAACCCACAGAACCCTCAGTGTGTGATGACCCAGGGTGGTATACAAAAGCAACACAGTCACAAAAACAGGTGAAGTCTCTTTAATTCCTTCAACTTGGCTTTAAAGCTCCAATTATCATTGACTGGAGACAAAAAACACCCCCACAAACAGTAACCAAAAGGAAGAACTTCCGTTCAAACTCAAAGTACATATAAATTATAAATAGAAAAAACAACACAAACCACACTGAAGCAATTACTGAGACAAGGCAGGATAAGGGCTTGAAGATGTCCACAGATATCAAAATACAAACACTGGGAAGGACGCCAAACTCAGATGATAATGGACAGACTAGAAATATTTTCACTTTGTTTCCAGCACTGGCCCATGCGCAGTCCGTCCTTTTAAACAGTCCTCACAGCTGCAGCCCATGAAAGGGATCAAGGCCCTTCCCTCCCCTGTAGACCATGGCATTGACGTTGCTCCCTTCTCTGTTCCTCCCTGTGTGCCCTAGGAAGAAGAGGGGATGGGCCTGTGTCTTCCTCTGACTGCCCAGCCGGCCTGTGCCCTTCCCCAGTTTCCTCCACAACCTCCGGAGCCACACTTCCACTCCCTTGGAATCAGACTCCAACAGGGGCATGACACTGTGGCTATCCCAGCTGGGCCTTCATCAAATCTAGAAAAACCCAGCAGGAGCACCTCCATAGCAGAAAAAGACGAGAACAACAAATGAAGCAACGTTGTCATTCCATACGGTGCAGAAATATCTGAAAAGCTCAGGAGGATTTTCAACCAACACGGCGTTCGTGCACACTTTAAACCCAAGAATACACTAATGCTTGTCCACTCCAAGTATAAAGTACCCAAGCACAATATGATATGTGCAATACAATGCAGTGAGACGTGCAGATCTGTACATTGGAGAAACAAAATTACAACCAACACATGACTTTCTCAACAGAGGGGGAGGGATACCACCCCATCTACTAGGTACAGCCCAGTGCTTTCCGCAGTTCCAAGAAGGCCCCATAGCCATTTGCACTGTGGTTCAGGTGACCCTGAGGGCACAGATAGACTTGCGTGGCCACAACACACAGAGAGTGCTAAGGACCAGATGACTGCAAGGACTATAACTCCTTCCATTCCCCACCATTCAGTCAGAACTGAAGAAGCTTCTTAGACGAGAAGCAAAACATTTTCAAGGAAAAACAAAAAAACAGTTGCCTTTTGAAAAAGCTCCTTTAGGAGAACCAAGACCAGGATGACAGGCGATGAAGTGAGATGAGTGCGAAAGAGGGCTCCAGGCTGCCCACTGAGCAAGGCCAGGCAGGGTCTCCTCTCCTTATTGATCCAACCTGTATGCTGAATATATACAAATGGAAGTTGGACTGGAAGAAGCTAAGTGGGGTTTTAAAACTGGAGGAAGAAACGTTAACCCTGGTTGGGTTGAGAACACTGTGCAGACAGCTGAAGACCCAAAGGAACTGCCAGATCTAGTAAGGGAAGTAAATCAAGAAGCCCAGGGACGAAATGAGACCAAGATCAAAGTTGATACACTAGCAACAAAGCAATCAACCTTAGGAAAGGTTGAAATGAAGATTCTGAAATACAGTTTTTGCCTTTTAGCATTACCCATCTGTCAAGGAACAGGCCGTCAAAAAACATACTAGTCCTCACCTTAATAGTTTGCTTAGTGACTGCTCAAAATGAGGATGGCACTGAAAAAAGTGACATGACCATTTTCCACACAACTGTTGAAGCTGCTCTCCAGACAATTGCCAAAAGACTCATTGTCACTTGCAATGTCCCAGGGTCAGGTGATCACCTTTTGTGATGGACAAGTAAAAACTACGAGGAAGCCATGATTCACTTAACATTGGGCTACTAACTTAACGACTGCAATGATTCCAGGGGTGGGATTCAGCCGGTTCTGACCAGTTCTGGAGAACCAGTAGTGGAAATTTGGAGTAGTTTGGAGACCCGGCAGATACCGCCTCGGATTGGCCCCACCAACCCCATCTCTTCGCCTCCCATCCAGTCCCAGCTGATTGGCTGGGTCTCCTTTGGTTGCCCTGCACAGGAGAACGGAGCTGGAAAGCAGGTTAGTGGGGAGGGGGAGGGAAGGGGGATTTTGCGGTATATCCTTTTCCCCTGGCACGCCCACCACGCCACGCCCACAGCACCAGCAGTAAAGCAACATTGAATCCCATCCCCTGGTCCAGCCCCGCCTGCAGCGGCTGCAGCGGCCGTCAGCTCGGCTGGGGACTCCCAAGCTCGGCGCCGGAGAGGCCGGCGAGGCTGCCCGGGAGCCGTGAAAGGTTCTCTTTGTTATCCCAGGCGGGCGGGGTGGGGTTCCCTCCGCTCCCCGCCTGCTCTCAGGCCGAGCCGAGCGCCGCCCCCCCCCCCCCCGCTGCCCCGCCCCCGCCCGGACGCCGAATCCCGAAGCGGAGGGCAGCAGGAAGGCCGGGCTGGAGGGTGGCGGGCCGCTTAGCCCGGACTTGGCCCTCGCGGGGAAGCCGGCGGGGCTGCGGGTGAGCCGGACCGGGATTGACCCCGATCGGGGGGGGGGGGG